GTTCCCATGATGCTTTTTATGTCTTTGCCTCCATTGCCGTTTATGTGTGCTGTAGCATATGATTGTGGTTTTGTATGATTCTGTATTTTGTCCTTCACTGTCGGAAGTGTGTCTCCATTTTTGTCACTTGGATCCCAGAAAGAATGTCATATCCCAACGTCGGAGCTGTGGGAATTGCGGTGCGGTTGTTAAGCGCTCGTCCCTGCGTTTTTTTTGTTTGTTTGTTTGTTTGTTTGTTTGTCTACCCAGTGTGTATTATCCGGGATTAGACTTGTCAAGGTACTGTCAACAAGGATAGTGTCCATGTCCTGCATGCTGTCCTTGATGCCGCTGCCAAATCTGTGTATGAGTTACAACACGTGTGGATTAGCTATTTGCTTAGATGCTTTGACAGCACGTATGCCTGTGACTCAACACAGCTCGCGGACTCGAGCGCACTTCGGATTCCTAAGATCTGCAGCCTAGAGAGTTCTCGCGATGTCAGATTTACTCGAGGGCCTGCTTACACGACACTGTTTTTTAATGTTGTATTTGGTTCTGTGTGTTATGGTTTGAAATTGTCAAGACACATATTCAGCATCCGAGTGAATCTGGACATGTACATGCCGTGATGCCTTCCCGTGTTTTCCCAAATACATTCCTGGAATGTAGCTGACTACATCCTCACTCATCCTCTTGTGAAAAACTGATGGACTCAAATGGTCGTGGAGCATTCAAATCACAATCCTTCAAAGTTACCAGCTAGCGGTAGCCAGTCAACAGCGAGCCGTTCAGAGGCTAGCAAAATAAGCTCTTTTAAGAGTCTACATTTTTACTGAGGGTTCCTTTTTGTCAAACTCTTTAAACATATTAGAAATTCAAAAAAGTGCTCACAAAAAAGGTGGCCACTTGGCAGTCAGTGGCTAACGCAAGAAGCTAATTTAGCTGTCCGGAGCTTCACTCATACTTCTTACTCTTGTCAAGCAAATATATAGTCTCAAATACATCACACCAGTTAAGAGCAAAATCTAAATTCTTAGTTTGTAAAATTAAAAATAAATAAATAAATAAATAAAGGGTCGGCTGCTATCCAGTCAACATCAGCGGCAAGTGCAAGACGCTAACTTCGTAGTCGAAATATGGGCCTGTTTAGTTGAACACAAAATTTACATACTCATACGAATTTTTTCAGTTCAAGAGCTCTGCCATTGACTGAAAGTACATTTAATTGTTCAGCCTGTCACTAGATACATAACAATATAGATGAACTAAGATACATTACTTTTAACTACTGTTTTGAAATAAATATCTTTCTGAACAATGAATTGAAATTGGACAATTTCTTGTGGTAGACCCGATAATCTCTGACAGTCACGGCACAGTGTTTGGGAATCACTGGTCTAAACTCATTAAGTCCGCTATGGGAATGGGCCCTCGTCCCTGGAAAACTGGACTCGTTTACCTTCACCCCACTGCTAATGATTATTCCCATTCCAAGCCATCTGAGAAAACAATGCTTGTTCAGCAGCTCCTCTTCGCCGCAATTACCTAATTTGATCAAAAGCATGTATGAAGGGACGCTTCAGTGAAAAGGGGGATCATTTTGTTACATATTGATACAATTAGCCCCTCACTGGGAACCTGTCATCACCACCTCCATCTCGGTGACGCTCCTCTTAGGCAGCCGACGTGGCCCCAGCAAACCACAGAAAGGCTGTGGTACCAAAAAACTAGAAGTTGTAAGAGAATCAGCAATCAAAAAAGCTATCTCAGCCTTTTTAAGGAGGTTTATACAATTATGGAACAAATATGTTACGGCGATTAAGATTTCCACTTGAGGGATTATAATTAGTATAATCCATTAAACAAATTAAAAGCGGAATTAAATGAAATATCTCCTGAGTATGTTAACATGATTACTGTAACAAATGTGTGCCTGGAAAATAGTGTAATTGTGATTCCCCCAAATATTGCCATTGGGATTTGATACTTGATTTAAAAAATATTTTTCAAGATCTCAGTTCAACTCATTCAGTTATTGTAATACGTCAACAATCAACAGGTGCACCTTTCATTCTCCAAGCGAAGCAATTAACTTTTATTATCGGTAATATAATGCTGTGCTGTTGGGACCTCATTAATGGGTAAGGCTATACAACCGTCCTCAAGCTAAGCAATTGGTGTTGTGTTGGAATTTTCACAGGCTTCCCTGCTTAAAACCCCATGAAGCAATTTCTCACTCATCATATTCGCCCGCATCTCGCAGCCCAGCCTCTTATTATTGCTTGTAAAGATTTCAACAGGTGTGTCGGGGGTCCATGCAAACTCATCATCTGTTTGCCCCATAACATTCTTTCAATAAGAGAAGCTATAATACATCAGTATCGTTTTAAAAGCGTACTCTTGTAAATCCCGTGGTTGAAACGAGATACCAAGGAACATCCACGACCATGTTTCTTCCGTGTGGTTTGGGGTTCTTTATTGCATTCCAACCCCCGTCGCTCCTGTTGTGCATTCCCGGCAGTCTTTATTCTTGGCTGCTTTTTCCAAAAAGCCTCGTCAACATTTGTCATAAAATTGTCTTGCTTGAAATAATTAAAATGAGAATTGCTACAAAACCCCCGCCAACGCGAACAGTTTAATTTTGGATCAGTGCAAAATTGTAAATTCACTGACACAACAAATATTCACAGCCTTCCAAGGGCTTCAAATTTTAGACAGACCACATAGTCATTTGAATCCTTTAAAAAAATTAACAAGCACACCTTTATTTGTGGCAAGCTAAACAATGGACTTCAAAGCGAAGCGTGGAGAGTCTCTGTCGCTGAAATGCATAAGTGCAGTCAGTGAATGGAGCGATCAATCACTGCCAACAGTCTCTCAAAATAGTCTCCCTCTCTCCTTTGACCAATAATTGTTCTTCTTTGTGGCAATCTGCTTATCCCTTGACAATCGTGCTATGTTTTTGTAGTTCAATATAAATACAAGATAGTACTGTATATTGTACGTTGCTTCTCAAAATCTGTTACCTGGTTGCTGGTTTTTCCATTATCGAGACTCGAAGAAGAAAAAAACGTGTGTGTGTGTGTGTGTGTGTGTGTGTGTGTGTGTGTGTGTGTGTGTGTGTGTGTGTGTGTGTGTGGAAATTGCTAAATATTAATCGAAAGTATTATATCTTCTATTTTTTAAAACTACTACTTAAAATAAATCAATCAATTGAATGAGAAGAATAAAAAGAAAAAAAGCGGCTGATAACTGGCTCCCGGGCCATACTTTGCCCACCCGTGCTCGACAGCCATTTTCCTCTGTGTTATTGTACACAGGAATTATCCTCATTCGTTGTTGTGGCTCACAATCGCAAACATGTTGATTAGCTTGGCACATGATGGACGCGAGACCTTCAAAGTTGTCATCCAGCAGCCCGCCTTGTCACGCGGAATATCGAGTCCTGACATATTTCTCTTGAATTTTGATTTAAAGAATTAGTTAACCTTTAGGTTGTCAAATCAGGACGACGGGGGCACAAGTGTGCGCTTTGCCTTTCAGCCCTTCACTTACCTGATTCACATTCATTATTTCTCAGCATGTTTGCATCAGACCATCTTGCCATTAATTGTTTTCTCTGTCTTATCAGAGATCCAATTGCAAAGGCGCCCGCCAATTGCGCCTGACACTATTTGCATAATCCAATTAAGATGCTTTACCGCTTTAGTGCATCCATCAATTAACCGATGACCCAAAGATGGTGACGTCAAACCGCCACTCAGACCAAAAAGCGAGGCAACGAAGATTTCATAGCCGAAGCTTTTAAACAATTCCACCCACTTAGCGTTATAGAAATATGTGTCTACTTCTTAAGTAGAGCTGAACAATTTATTCAATCAAATCAACATTGCAATGGTAGTACAATGCAATTCTCAAATGGCAAAGGCTGCTCTCATTTCATACCAAGTGCCATTAAGAATGCCAAATTGTTCATTAAAACACTGCTTACTGTGTCACTTCAGATTCTGTGGTGGGTTCCCTTGGGGAAAACTTGTTTTGAAATGAGAACAACTCGAAAGACAACCAGCATCACGGAAGCCGTTTGTGCTTGCTTTGAAGCCAGCAAGGACCACGTCTCAGTCCACACAGACAGACTCCATCCGCCTCAGTTAGCACCAGAGTGATTATCTACGTATAGTACGAGTTCTTCCTGCCGTGCTAACGGATTAATTAGGAAATATACCTTTATTTTGAATACAACAAAAAAAAATTAATCCGGTTGAAATCTGATGGATCTCACTGAGGAAACGATGCCTGTCAGCACCTTGACGCCTCTTACCCCATTTTTGGCCGTCGTCTTGTAAAACTTGGCGTTTATCTCACCTCTCCCGCTCGTCGCAATTTACGGATTTATTTCGGTGCTGTGTGAAAACGGGTAGAGCCG